CCGTACAGAAACACATATAACGTTACTAATTATAGCATTTAATTTTCTAATAGTACGAAAAAAAAATTGTAACGTCGTTTTGAAATTAGATAGGGTCTCCCATTCAAAAGAAAAGTGTTCATAAAAGAGCATATGTAATATTTAATTGTCCCTTTGATATCCTCGTTGTTACTTAATTACGCTAAAAAGAACTTATAGTGTTCGTTTCAGTTTATGGTATGTATTAACACTACATTGGTAGCAAAATAACACTGAAGAGCTGCTCGACAAATCCAACGAAACGTTTGTGTTGGATAATGAGATACTGTAATTGTTCAATTTCCAAACTTATTCAAACAGACCGCTCATCAGATATAGGATATCAAATGTTTTTGGCGATAAAGCTCATTCTGAACCTTTATGTTGGAATGGTTGGTAAATCCAATGAAGTTATATGACTGTTTACAGAGACACCAGAGTAGATAGCGCCCATAAAAAACAGCAGATACACCTCAGGTTGCTATATTTTCCATGCTACATGTTTTGAGTAATGCTTGAAAAATTACTAAACAAATTCAACAGTAATCAGGGAATCTCAATTTGAAAAGAGTTTAGAAAGACCGATTAATTCTTCTTCATTTTTAATAGCGCAAAAGAAATTATTTGCGGAAGAATATGAACCTTAAATAAAGAAACTTCTGGAACACTCCAAAAACAAAATACTCATTAAGGTCAGTTAGTAACTTAAGAAGCTGAGTCATCCCTTTAATATGTAATCAAAATAGTTCTTGAATTTAGAAAACTAAAAAGAACTTTTGGGTAACATATAAAAATGTTTTGGAAATATTAAACTAGTAGACTGGAAGAAGAATCATGTACGTCAAAACTGTAGACGCTGCGTGACCACGTGCAGAACTACTTTTGGCTTAAACTGTATCACGGGCCAGAATGTACTTTAAACAAACATGAAGACTGGAAGAAGAATCATGTACGTCAAACTGTAGACGCTGCGTGACCACGTGCAGAACTACTTTTGGCTTAAACTGTATCACGGGCCAGAATGTACTTTAAACAAACATGAACATAAAACTTTATAAACAAAAAACTCTGTTGAAAACTTTCTTCGGTACTAATACTTTAAAACATTGGTACTTTACAATATTAAATGAACAGTATTCTAACGATAACTAGAAGAATGAGAAACAATATGTGAACGAGTGTAACTAGAAAGACACGAGGTAATCCGGGTATACGAATAACCATTAATGAACAAGATATCCATGAAAACTTAGATAGGTATCATTTTAATAAGTCTTAGTCTTTCACTAAGCCAACAGTGACAGGCATACTTTACCGGTGAATTCAGACTAATATTTGTACGTCAATCAGTAATGGCGACTAACTTCTTGAACTCTCTTTCTTTCTTTCCCAAACAGATTTCAGGATATATCTGGGTTCTTCTAATTGAACAGTTGATATATTGAGATAAAACATGAATTGTATTGAATGAAGCAGCGGTTGATTTCTTTCTTTAAAGCATAAGTTATTTTTATCACTATATAGCATAGATAATTATACTTATCTTAAAGTTGCTTGCCTTTTTCTGGTGTAATATAAACTCTCGTGACAGGCTTATGTGGAGATCAATAAAATACATCACTGGATAATTTATCTGTTCATAAGCAGTTACGATAGACGAAAAGCAAGTGCGTTTTGTCTAAGTTACCTTCCACCAAGAGAAAAGAAATGCAAGCAATACGATGATGGTCAGTATAACGCATCCTGGATTCAGATGTTTTTAGAGTAGCTGAAAGTAAAACGAATCATTACGTATTCATATATTCTAATAAATGTATTCAAATGATTATAGATAAACATGCGAATCTTCTGTTGCATTTGCTAACAGCAACAACGTAAGGCTTAAAAAGTAAGTGTCGCTCTTCAAGAGCATTAGGGGGAACAACTTGATGTGTCTGTTTTGTTGTTCTTTTCGTGCTCTTTCCTAGGATCACTGGCCGCTCCAAGGAAACCATTATATATCTGAATGCTGTGCTGCGAGATTGGGGATCGTCACCAAACTTACGTTTGTGTTTATTATTTATTTAGCTTGCTTCTCTGCCTCCTGATCCCATCTTATAAAGTTGAAATCCTATATTTACGGAGTGTTTTTAATCCTTACTGGATATTCGAAATCCATCCATTACAACCGCTAAATGTAGTTACGATTCAGAAAAAAATCATAAAACGTAACTTTCAAAACATGTGCCAAAAAATTTGGTAAAGTTAGCCCACTTGATGCGTCATGCACCTTATAAGACCGTCAGAAATCACAACTAGAACGATATAATACTTGTTTGTTTGTTGTAAAGCACAAAGCTAACAATGGGTTATCTTGTGCTCTGCTCAACATGGGTATCGAAACTGGATGTTTAGCTTTATAAGTTCACTAACTTATTGCTGGGCCACCGAGGGGGGGGGGTATAATATAATAAGTGCATGGAAGAATTGATTATAAATTTACAGTTTGTTTATTTTTTTGTTTACTTAAGAATCAAATACACAAACTTTTCTAGAAAAGAAACAAAATGAAGTCTTTAAATCTCCACTATGTGATATCCCAGTAATTGTACTGTTATTCTCCACTTAACTCCCTAATGCCAAACCTAAAACAATTTGGTTTTATTTTTACATCGAAATTATAGACATTTACGTGCATAGTATATGTTGTTCTACTAGTTCACTTGACCATTAATAGTGTAAAAAAAGATAAAGCATGCTCTACAGTATAGATTCTAATAAAATTACGTTTAATAGCACATTATTTGTTCGAAATACAATAAATAACACAGCTGGTTAGTTTTTACTTTCGGGGAAAATATATAATCTATTTAATACTCTAAGTTGGTGTTTCTAAAACTTTTTTTTGCTGGTGGCTCCCTTTTGAGTTTGATTTATGTCTGTAGCCCCCACCCTTCGTAGACGCTGTTACTTAGGAAAAAAAGTTATTTTATTTCCAGACTGTTGATTTATAATATATTTATAATATTATAATATTATTTTTTACAATATTGTACTGTTTTTAAATATTTTGTTTATGACATATTGTTTACTTATCTTTTACTTATGCTCTTGAGAATCAGTCGAAAACATTCACAGATACCAGACAAAAATTTTGATTGTTATTCGAGTACTAGTCGTGTCTGGTAACTTGACTTCTGAGCTGTGGGGAATACGGACGGAAGGGAACCTTTGATTCAATTTTGAATTTTAAATATTTTATTCGGGGAGTGAAGTTCGGTGGCTTACTCAGAATTTACTGTGGCCCCCTAATTTTCCGTCATTCACGTGTGGTCCCTTAGAAACATGGCGTGGCCCCCTGGGGGGCCATATGGCCAACGTTGAGAACCACTGCTCTAGATTACTTCTATTTTTCTATTTTAGAATTGATTAACTTCATTAGTTGTAAAGATGCCAATCAAAAATAATAATACAGTTTTCAACTTTTGAAAACAAGACTAGAAAAAAAACTATCGTCTTATAATACACTGTGTTCAAATTTTGAATTTATCCGGATAGGTAGATGGACATTTTTATTGAAAACAACCATACCAGTGTTAAAAGTTTGACAAAGAAAAGCATTTTAATTCACCAATAAAACTAAATTAACACATTCCGCAACCAAATATTAAAGTTACACTAATTTTTACAGCTATATTCAACCATAGGATTTACACTACTTCTTTAAACTATATTCAACCACAGGATCTACACTACTCCTTTCAACTATATTCAACCATAGGTAGAAAAATATTTGTGTATGCGTGAATATATTGCATTATAGAAGAAGAAGTATTTCATTTATGTCACTCGTTTCATTATCTTTAGCTAATGGTATTATGACATTTTATCTCGTATAAAATTGTACATCATTGCATTTCCTTCCAACCTGTAAAACTGTAAATGTTTCGGCTGTCATCGGTCGTCTACCAACTAAGGATTATAAAACGTTCTGTCTATCAGGTAAAACTACATACGCGCATTATATAGAAATATAGAAAAACAATTGTGTCTAATCCTTGCTCCATCTGGCAGTAATCCTGCTGCCACTGTCAGCAGTCTATACACACTTACAGTGAATACGAACCTATATTGTGATCCTTACTGGAAAATATAGCCTGGAGCTTCCAGAACATTTCAAAAAGCAGAGTTCAGCCAGGCTAGTGAAACGTAAACAGTAAACAATAAGTGGGAATGTATTGGAAACTAGGCTTTTAATATTATTAAACATTCTCGCCTAAGATTTGACACCATCAACATCTAATAAAGAAAGATGAACTCTCAAAGATACCAAGTTACTTCAACAACTTAATGCATGTGAACAAAATAAAGAAAGGGAAGTTTGCTTGTTTTCGAATACTCTCACTAAGCTACACAATGGACTATCCGTGCTCTGCCCACCACGGGTATCGAAAGCCGGTTTCTAGCGTTGTAAGTCCACTGACATACCGCTGTGCTACTGGGGGCTTGTACTAAGCTACGCAAAGGTTACTATGCCAGGCGTCTCTAATTTGGAACTTATAGACTGGAGTAAAGGCAGCTAGACAACAACCCTTTGACAGTTACACTTATAATGCATCCGTGGCTCCAGTGTGTGGAGCGCGATTTTGTTGTACATGTCTTTCGTTGCGGTAACGAAACGCAAAAAATGGAACTGCAGATCCATAGATCAGCACACGACGTCATGCTAGCCTCAAAAAGAATAAGAAAGTGACAATGGTGAAATAATAATAATGGCTAATGCGGTAGCTAACTATATTAACTCGTGTAATCACTAAAAAATCTTCAATCAGTGAAAACCTTCCCTCCAATACGACACTGTAAGAAAGTTGTAGGTTATCTCTTTCAACCTGGCGCCATATGTCTACATGATTAGCTAACCCATACATTTTTCTTGATTAATTTACCAAAATTAAGCACGTCGTATAGTTTCCATGTATATAATTCACTTACAATATTTATAGCAGGTAGGAGCCAACATTAAGAGCGAGGAAGAAGATGATGCGACTGAAACGCCATCTAGCGAAACTATAGAAAAACAAAATGCGAATGAAGGCGCCTCGGATGGTATGTAATCAAAATGTAAAGTATATAGTATTATAAAAAAAAAGATATATTTATGTAATAGTTCAAAAACCCTTATACAGACTTTTGTGATATTAAATTCTCAACTACAAAAACAAAGACATAGATTCATTACAGACTATATTTTTAATACACTAGTACAAATATTAAATATTCAATAGTAAAACTGTCAGATATTATTTACTTGTAATTACTTATTAAACATATTGTGGTATCATATACTCTATAGACAAAAATTGAAACGAAAGTATGACTTGTTTGCTTTTAAGACACTGCTGTGAAGTAGGTTTGTTAGCCTTGAATCTTCTATGAGCACAATTAGCGTAGAGTTTTGAGGTACACAACGTTTCGGTTTCTGTTCTAGGCATTCATCCGGTTTTGAAAAAGGCCTCAGCAAAGAAAGTGAAACGTCACGTAACTTAAAACTATACAAAGGTACTGTACATAGAAGATTCATGACCAATATATTTAAAATATCTGAGGTGATGTTTTCATTATATTGCAGCTGGAAATCAAAACGAAACTCATAGAGTACTGTCAGAGCCCTCTGTTGGAGAATCAAATATCGCCACACACAGCGGAATGAATTGTGAAAAGAAAGAAAACGAAAATTCTGTTTGGTCTGGAGCAGAACCAATCAATATGGTCAGAAGTTCCGGTTCCATGACCTATGCTGCTTCTGGATATCCAGCTGACCACTCATACGATCGGATCTTGGTATGGACTTAATTTTATTTACTTCATATTGTATCTTCAATGTCATTTGTAACAGTATATAACTGTGATAACGAAACCTTCTATCTCTCTGTTTTCCTGAAACTTTCTTTGTATGTGCTTATCAAGTTTGTAACGTAAATATACATTTTCGACAAAGTATGTTCACTGTCGTAAAATACTTTCAAAACTAGCAAACATTTGACTCTGTGTGAATGTGTGGCTTACACTTATGTACAAACATATAAATATCTTTTAAACAACATTGTACTTTTGTAATACGTTTGCATACCTGTTTTCAAGCAATATTCCAGAAATACGAGATGAATGTTTGCTAACAATATATTTAAATAAGACTTGAGAAGAACACGCTTTTATCGTAACATTTAGGCCTTTTAGTTAAACAGATTTGTTTAAAAACTATTACAACCCTCTATTGCACCATACGTTGTAAAAATGTTTTCTTTGAATTCATTACTTAAATAGGTGTATATTGCACACAAAAATAAGGTTTTGTGAAACACATTTTGTCATAGAAGTAAAAATGTTCAATTGAGGATTTTTATTTGTTTTTTCTTAAGTGCAATACTACATAATGGGCTATCTGTGCAGTGTCCATCACGTGTATCGTAACCCAGTATTTCGTGTTATATGTCATCTGACTTGCCGCTGAGCCACTGGAAAGCTCAACTAAGGAACCAACGAAAATAATTCCATGGTTTATTTGGATTGTTACCTGAAAGTAAAGAATTCAGCTATAAAATGAAGCATTTGTATGTTTATTCAGCAAAAAAAAGAAAGATAGATTTGTTATGTGTACGTTATAATATGCAATATAGGGTTAAAACACAGCTATCATAATGGTTCTTTGTATGTTTATTCAGCAAAAAAAAATAGATTTGTTATGTGTACGTTATAATATGCAATATAGGGTTAAAACACAGCTATCATAATGGTTCTATGTATGTTTATTCAGCAAAAAAAAAGATAGATCTGTCATGTGTACGTTACGATATGCAGTATAGGGTTAAAACACAGCTATCATAATGGTTCTCTCGTAAGAGCTGTATATGTGTATATCATTCCCCCAGTGCTCGAATTTACTCTCGCTCCAGAGCATAGACTTAAATTGAAATATATGGTATTCTGCCTTATAATCTCGTTATTTTACATTTCTGAGACGTTTTTTATTACTATTGGATGTTATACTTGTTTAACTCTCAAAGAAGTGGGTCTTAACTGTCAAATATAACCAATTAAATGTCCAAAGGAGACAAGCGATGTAAATGTGCGCTAGAAGCAAATATATTTATTTTCTAGTAACAAAACATTGACATTAAGTTTGTGAAATTTGATATCGTTTATTTGAAAGTAATCTTCAGTGACGTTCTAGTAGATAAGCCACATTCAACTTACATTGAACAGTATTACAGAAGGCTTGAAGGAAGCCTGGCGACGAGAATAATTCATCTACGATAGTACCACATCTCCTAAGGTCAAAAATTTTGACTAAGCTTTTTATGCGTGATCAGTAAAACGCTGTCCATGAATAATCATGAAAATGGTAGGACGTTTATTGACATCCTCCCCCCATCTCCAAACATCTCCATGGGGCCACGCCATGTTTTACGGGGCAACACGTTAATGACGGAAAATTAGGAGGCCACAGTAAATTCTTCACTGCCCGAATAAATATTTAAAACTTAAAATTGAATCAAAGGTTCCCTTCTTCCCGTATCCCCACAACTCAGAAGTCAAGTTACCAGACGCGACTAGTATTCGAGTAACAATCAAAATTCCGGATTGGGTGGTGGATCCATTTGGGGTGAATGCGGTTGATGTTGACATCACATTACAAAAATTTCTCATCGAACTGCAGAGTGATATAACAGCCCAAGCTAGATTCAAATGTGACAAACATTATCTCTGGATAAGTAGTGAAATAGCTAATAAGTTTCCACAGCTCTGGGAGAAGGCAAAGTTGCATTTTATCACTTTTCCCACATCTTATCTGGCTGAATCTGGTTTTAGTCGAGTGACTTATTTGCTATCAAAAATACGTAACCGTCTTGATGTTGTGAAGAGAGGTGATCTTCGCTAATTCACTGACCACACTTCAACCGGACATTCAAAAACTTTCAAGTGTTCATCAGGCCCAAGGATCACACTGAATAAAATGTCAATGATCAACAGAATATTTTTTTGTGTAATTAAATAGTATGTTATAAACAAAATATTTAAAACCAATACAATATTGTAAAAATAATATTATAAATATGTTATAAATCAACAGTCTGGAAATAAAGTAACTTTTTTCCTAAGTAATAGCGTCTACGAAGGGTGGGGCCACGGAGATAAATCAAACTCAAAAGGGAGCCACGAGCAAAAAAAGGTTGAGAAACACTGATCTAGACATTGTGTGCTTTTAAACTTTATTTAGCTTTTATGTTTTTCTATGTTAGTTTGTGAAATTTCTCAGGGTAAGATATTTAAGACAAACTTATGGTATGTATGATTAGCTTAACGTTTTAAAGAAAACTTTCAATTAAAGTTATTTTTCCATTAGATGCTTTGGCACAGAAATGTATTGTATAAGCTACAAATCATTTCTGATAACAATTATCTATAGACAACGCCAACAGATGGCGCCAGATAACACGACCCACAAAGAAAGTTAATGACGAAATGAAAGTGATATGTGAAACATCATGCGTATGACGATTGTCCATAATCAACTTATGGATAGCGCAAATCAAAAATAAATGTGAAGGACTTGACCAACGACGAATTGAAATGAAACGATATGAAGTTGAGATTAAATTTCTAATATTACGTTTTCTATATCTGCCAATACTGTGATACGTTACTGGTTAAGAACCATTACTATTAAAATAAGATTTTTAAATGTATACATTTACTCGCATTGTACTGGAAATTAATGTTATATGTTTAACTTTATTTTAACACAGAGTCCACGAAATGGCTCGGTTCCGCAGGAGACCACAACTGACGATACTTCGCTTATTACGAAAGATGAAGATGACGAGGATGATGACGAGGATTCGGATAAGATTGATATAAATAAATACGATCCTGATAGGTTGAAGGCCTTTAATGTAAGTTTTATAGGCCTTTTTTTAACTTCATAAATGACAACTGTAGACTAACTTTCAACTTTATGACAGCGATTCTATTTCGATACTAACATGCGGGTAATAACTGTAACTTAGTTTTTAGTCTTCTAGATAAACAGAAAATTTTTAACTTGTTTTTAACTTGCTACGTATATCAAAACTATAAATTAACTTTGAACGTCATTAAGATCCATAGAATGGCTTCAACTTTTATATGTAAATAACACTTACAGGCTGACTTCGATATAAATATCATAAAATTAGCTAAAAATTCGTCACACACCTTGTAGATTTGCATAGGGATTTCATGTAACTGTAAAACAGGATTCAAAATAAAATCTGAAACTTAAAATACATCCATAAACTTTATAATCCTTGTTTGAAAATATATATATATATAAAGTAATGCAAGTTGTATTGAAGGCGGTAAAACATCCTGGGGGACGTAAATCTGAGAAGTTAGAGCCCGGTAGAAGCGTGGAAATTTAATAAGTAAGATAGTCACAATGCTTGCTCACGTGAGATCTGCTGTATGTGAAGTCATTCAATAGGATTAGGTACTTGATAGTGTAACATTTAAAAAACTTTCAGGTCGGTTGAAGTGGCTGCTGAAGCTTGGCGAACACTCAGTTGTTAGGAATGTGTAAAATGATGTGAAGTAGTATGAATTAATTCATGGTGTCTTTACTGCATCTAATGTAACCACAATGTAGGAGGAGTGCATAGCATGTTGTCTGTATGAATTCTGAAAACATTATATATATATTTATACGTATAAAGTCAATCACCTCCAAGAATGCTTGGCATCGTTTCGTTTTGCTTGGTGTAGTACCTCTCAGTGCTGGAAACTTGAAGACCAGTAGCGAATTTTGTAAGGTGGTGAAATGTGGTTCACCCATTTTCAAAGTTTAACGGCTAAATATGTATTTGGAAGCAGGCCGAACGGTAGTTATCTCGTAACTGTTTTGGGATGGGGTCATTTTGGAGTGGGTTGAAGTCTGTGTATTGGGCATGGGATCTTTCGGTAAACTGTGTGCATATCTGAATGTCCATTGGTATTAAGAGATCTTAAATGAACACGTTCAAAGGGTCATGGTGGGTTTTTGGTCAGCAGGAAGATGTGTGGTTCCAATGAAATGTATACATGGTACAAAAGAATAATATCGTTGTTCTTGAATGACCAGCCTAATACCCGGATATTAACTGTGACCATTTAGAGAGGCTAATCCAAAAGTTTCGGTCACAGCCTTCTAGTCTTCAAGAACTATGTAAACAGTAAATGTACCAAATACCTGCTGGAATCTAGCTGAGAGTATAACTCGTACCTTAACAATGGTATTTGGTCAAGAACAGCGCTGTAGTATACTAGAATAGCGACCACTTGGACCCCCCCGTCCTCTTTCTTTCTACGTGTCTGGATACCTTAGCCAGGGCGGTGCTACAAGATCACTACGATCTCCCTCCTTCTTTTGGATTAGATGTCTGGATCCTTTAGCTAGGGTAGTAATGCTATATCTTACTAGACCTCCCCCCCCCCTCTTTTTCGGGTTACATATCTGAATTCTTAGACAGGGTAACTCTATTTTGCAATTCTTGGAAGTCATAAACAATTGAAATATAAGACTTTCTTTTCTTCGGTACGTGTCAGAATAGAAAGAATTCAGCACCAAGTGCGAATGTTTCTTTAACCAAGACACGCTGCTCACAATATGCCCCAAGGTTAAATACTACAGAAGAAGACGGGTCTACCTGTCGAAAGTTCTAGGATTTCACCGAGTTTTTATTATTAACGTCTGCAGATCGCCTTACTGTCACGTTTGAAATAAAAATACATTCTGTACAGTTGTGTCTTTCCAATATCGAAAATAATTTATCTTTCAAAAGTGACGCGACCGTTTAAAATGAACAGTTTACCCTCAAATAAAATGTTAGAATTCAAAAACTCAGTCAAGTGTATAAAAATATGTTGGTCGTTTCGTTATAAGAAAATTACAGCTATATTTTAAACTAACTACGAAGTTTTTTTTGTTGTTGTTGTTGTTGTTCTCTGAAGTCAAGTATATAAAAATATGTTGGTAGTTCCATTATAAAGACCAATAAAAAAGTACAGCTATATATATCGAACAAATGCACTTTAGTTTTAAACTAACTACGAAGTGATTTTGTTGTTGTTGTTCTCTGAAGTCAAGTGTATAAAAATATGTTGGTCTTTTGGTTATGAAAGCCACTAAAAAGGCTACAGCTATATAGATATATATATATATCCTACAAAATACACTCTAGTTTTAAACTAACTACGAAGTGATTTTGTTGTTCTCTGAACTGCCTTTACCTCTCTCAGCTTTCTTCTGAAGTTGATTACACAGGACTAACTTCTACAGAACTAATTATACTTTGTTTCTATTGTGAATGCGTGTGTTTAGTCGTACGTTATATCAAAACAATGTTATCCCGGAGAGACAGCATGGGAAGTCAACAAGGATAGAGAAATTAATTACAACGGAAATTTATGGATCTTTTTCTGCATATTTATTTGTTTGTTGTTAAGCAGAAAACTGCACAATGAGTTATCTGTGCTCTGCCCCCCCACATACATATCTAAAATATTATAATAATTTAACAATTGAAATTGGACGTAAACTCTTTTCCAGATGTTTGTTCGTCTGTTCGTGGATGAGAACCTAGACCGCATGGTGCCCATATCTCGACAACCGAAGGAGAAAATACAGGCTATCATCGAATCCTGTACTCGACAATTTCCAGAACTTTCCGAGAGAGCAAGAAAGAGAATCCGAACATATCTCAAGTCTTGCCGCAGAGCAAAGAGAACACGTGATCACAACGGACTGGAGTTGGTGAGTGAGAGCCAGAACTTGATTTCGTTTTCTCTTTTGAAAGTTATTTTATATTTACATTTTGGGAAATATTAGATTAACATTCCATTTAAGCTTTGACCTCTCACTAAATACGCACAATCTACAATATTTTCATTCGCTAAGGTGAGTAAAATTCAGGTTGACCATTTAAATTAACATAATTATGAACCTTATAGTAAACAAAAGTCCTTGTATTAGCTGTATCAGAACCCCACAGTTCTTTAATTTCTATAAATTCTCGAACCTCTTAGAATGGAAAAACCTTGCTTAATGTCGTTCAGTAAAACAAATGTAAACTCATCATCTACGAAATAGAACGTAGGATGAAAGTCAGTTCACGAACAGCTATGTATCTTTAATGCACTTAACTTATATTAAACATAGATACAAAGATCACAGTAAT